TTTTATTTTGCTTATTTGTACTTCCTCTACAATAACATTATATCCAAAGGTAATTTCACTTAACTTCTCTAAGCCTTAGTTTCCTTATCTATAAAATGTGACAGCTAGACCGGATGCTTGCTTTTCAAAATTGGGATGGGAGAGTGGATTCAAGTCACTCATTCCCCAAATATTGGGATCGCCTTGTCTTCCTTCACCACCTAGTGAGCCAGCGGTGTCTGGTACCTCTTAGCTGAGAAGGAATTTTAAAGAAGGGTCAGCCGAAACTGGTTTGGCTCAGTGGATAGAGCATCAGCCTGAGGACTGAGAGGTCCGGGGTTCGATTCTGGACAAGGGCATGTGCCTTGGTTGCGGGCGCATCCCCAGTGGGGGGTGTGCAAAAGGCAGCTGATCGATGATTCTCTCTCATCCATGTTTCTAGCTATTAGCCCTCTCTCTTCCTCTCTGTAAAAAAATCAATTAAAAAAATTGGATACATTGCCTTTAAATAAAATAAAAAAAAGAAGAAGGGTCAAAGCATTGGGCTAGACAGCTCTAGTCTTTATCCCTGACAGTTCACAATTATATCATCTCAGTCTCTATAATAAACAACAAGTAGTTATAACAGCACAGGCTTTGGAGATGATACTGTTGCCTTACCTCTATGAGGTTTACCTTTACTTAGTTCCCTCACAGGTAAAACGATGTGGCAATTCCTACCCCAAAAGGTGATCGATAAAATTAAATGTAAAGTACTCAAAATGCCTAACTCTGTGCCCAGTAAGGAGACATAAATGACAGCTTCTACTGTACTACTGGTATAGAGATCCACAATGCAAAATAGAAAGTGATCCATCTCCGTGCTAGTGGCACAGACTGCATAAAAGGAGCCACAAGAATCCCAACATCTATGCTTTGGAAACAAGAAAACAATGTTTTGGAGCACTGAGGCTACTTGTGGAGATGGGGTGGGAGGACTTAAAGACTGTTTGAAGTGAAAAGCGAGAAAGCCTCGGAATGACCTCGATTTTACTCCAGCACCTAGGCCCAGTAACTCAGGGGGGGAAACCCTGCCCTTTTCCTGGCCCCCATCAGTACTCCACCTTGAGCACAATGCTGAGGTCTTGGAGTGGCTCCTCGTTGAGGTGCAGGCGCCCCGCTCGGACCGCGGCCTCGTAGTAGGCCAAGGGCTGGGCTCGGAACTCAGTACTGAACACGTGCAGCAAGCTGCGGCCCACCCAGCGGCCTTTGCAGTAGGTCCGGAAGTCAAAGTAATAGGGCCGCACTTTGCGCAGGCCGCCCTCGAAGTAGTAGCTGGTCTCTGCAAAGTGTTCGTCGCCGAAGCTCACCCCTGCCCGCCGCTTCTTCGGGGGCGGCACCACGCGCTCCCCGGTGGCGCCCCGCCGCTTCTTGCGCTTGCCCGGGCCCGGCGCGACCGCCGTGGCCCGCTCCTCGCTCCCCGTGACCTGCCCCCCTACCCCAGGGGCCGACTCCCCTCCCGCGGCGGCCGGCTCCGGGCTTCCGGGGGGTCGCTCGTTCCTCGCGTCCCCGTTTTGCTGAGCCGGAGCCGTCAGCTCGCTCGCCGCCTCCGCCCCGGTGGAGGGCATTCCCGCCATCCGGCCTCCTCGGCCGCCCCAAGTCCCAGCAAGGCGGAGGCACGGGAGGTTCAAGCAGCCCTTCACCAGAACCCGGAGCCACCTGCAGCCGCCCCGCCTCATAGCCACGCGGGCGCCACTGCTGGGTCGCGATCTGAAGACGTCACTCGGCACCAGCCAATCAGCGAGGCCCAGGGCGAGGCGGGACAGCGAAGGGAGGAAGTGAGTTGAATGACTTGAGTGGGGAGTTGAGAGGCTGTGAGGAAGGCTCACACAAAGCCTTGAATTCATGTAGATAATACTTTCAAAGTTCCTTGGGTATGGAAAAAGCTCCTGAAAGGAACATATGGAAAACAAACGGACTTTAAAACAAAAGAGAGTGCTAAGTTCCGAATATGCTAGGGATATTTAAAAATTGTGTTGTATACTTTTGAAGAATCAAGCTCTTCCCAGCTTCCCTTGCATCTTGCACATTGGTGCATCCTCTGGGCTCTGTCAGGCAAAGCCTTTGGAACCCGAAGCACACATCCTGTCTGACAAGATAGTATTGGAGGCATCTGATTTGGGGGGCTAATATTGAGGGAGGTTCTTGTGCCCAGTTCCCAGTCAGCAATGCCAGCTACAGTGGCAGCGTGGTGTTCCTTGAAGTTCCTCAGTGAGGTTAGGACACTGCTCCTGGCTCCATAGACCCCAAGCCTTACTGTCTAGCCCACCTCAAGATTTCCTGAACTACTTACTATCTTTTAATCCTGTGCTGTACAATAAAGTAGTCATTAGCTACCTGTGGGTATTTAAATTAATTAAATAAAACTTAAAATTTAGTTATTCAGTTTCACACAGTGCATTTCAAGAGCTCAATAGCCACCACATAAAGCCAGTGGCTACCATATTGGACAACTCAGATATAGAAACTTCTATTGAACAGAGCAACTTTAATCTATTCCTCTTACTGTTTAAACTGGCTAGAATGAGTTCTGTGGTTTGAACTAAGAACTCCAACTAGCCGAAACCGGTTTGGCTCAATGGATAGAGCATCGGCTTGGGGACTGAAGGGACCCGGGTTCGATTCAGGTCAAGGGCATGTACCTTGGTTGCGGGCATATCCCCAGTAGGGGGTGTGCAAGAGGCAGCTGATCGATGACTCTCTCTCATCGATGTTTCTAGCTCTCTATCTCTCTCCCTTCCTCTCTGTACAAAATCAATAATATATATATATATATATTACATATATATGTATATATATTGTATATATATATATATATATATATATATATATATATTTTTTAAAGAACTCCAACTAACTTACTGTGATAAGGATTTAAGTAATTTAAGAGTAATGGAAAATCATCAAAGAGTTTTTTGGGAAGAGGTGGGTGACATGATTTGGTCTCCATTCCAAAAGAATCACAGTGGTCACAACTTAAAGAAGAAAGAAAAGAGGGAATCACAAGTTCTAGCTCCAGTTCAATGTGGTTCTTGACCATGGGGGTAAGTAAGATACCTAAGAATAAACTTAATCAAGGAGGTAAAAGACCTGTATTCGGGAAAACTACAGAATGTTGAAAAAATTGATAAAGATATAAACAAGTGGAAGAATAGGCTATGTTCATGTATTGGTAAGATTAACATAATTAAAATATCCATTCTGGCCATGGAGTAGTTTGATGAAGCATCCATAAGCCTATGAGACTGCCCCATTCTGTGAATCAGGTGCTGCTAGACTCTTGTTACATAGGATGGCCTCAGAATCCTTCCATTCCCCCCATTCATTCCCTATAAATAAGCACTGTCAAAATCTTGCTTGATATGAGTTCTTTTTTTTGTAACCTTCTTGCTTTCCGCTTGCTTCCGTTTGCACATTCTAAGAATGGTTATAAATATGATCAACGGAGTACCTTGAAGTTTTCTTGGTAGTTAAGACCATAGCCACATTAATTTACTTTGGACACATCTAGACACTATATCATAAGCCAAGTTACTCTGTACAAACTTCTACTGATGGTTGGCTAATGTCTTTCCGCACATCCTTTTAGGAGTAACCAGCTCTGGAAATTGGGGCTGTAGAGGCGAGGAAGAGTTGCATCTGAGCCTACTGATAATCCCTAAAAGATATCAAAGGTCACTTCCTTTTATTTTATTTTTAAAAAAATATATTTTATTGATTTTTTTACAGAGAGAAAGAGAGAGGGATAGAGAGTTAGAAACATCGATGAGAGAGAAACATCGATCAGCTGCCTCCTTCACACCCCATAACCAAGGTACATGCCCTTTACTGGAATCAAACCCGGGACCCTCCAGTCCGCAGGCTGATGCTCTATCCACTGAGCCAAACCAGTCTCTGTGGGGTCACTTCCTTTTAAAAAGTGTTTCTGGTTCTAGCCGGTTGGGCTCACTGGATAGAGCATCTGTCTGGGACTGAAGGGTCCCAGGTTCGGTTTCTGTCAATGGCATGTACCTTGGGTGCAGGCACATCCCCAGTGTGGCATGTGCAGGAGGCAGCTGATCGATGTCTCTTTCTCATTGATGTTTCTAACTATCCCTTTCCCTTTCTCTCTGTAAAAAATAAAAAATATTTTTTTTAAAAAAGGGGGGGGGAGTGTTTCTGACACTCATCTCCCAAGACCACTCTGTCCTTTATGTGCTCTGGCTACACTTCTGTGATATCCTCTATAACTATTGTTATTTGTAAAGTTGTCTGCCCCCCAACGCACCCTCTTACACTAAAAGCTGTGAGGGCCTCAGGGACCCATACCGGGACCCATACTGAGTCTGTCTGTCTTGAATTCCCGCTTCACACAATGCTTAGGGCAGGAGTTTGGCTATTGACTAAATGAATGAGGAAAAGCTTCATAACATGAATGGGACAAGGGTCTCCTGAAAGGAAAAAAGTCTCCTCCTACCCCATTAAAGCCCCAAGTGCTCTAACTTGGGTAGCGAAGGGCTGACATTTGTGGAGACCAACGCCGTCAGCCCAGACAACTGCTGAAGAGGTGAACTTGCTCAGGGAACCAAGCCAAGCCAAAGGCCTCGAAAACCGGGCTTCCTCATCCCAGCAGGGGCCGGGTGGAGGGCACAGCCCGCGCGGCTGGAACTCCCGGGAAGAAGTGGGATCCATCCAGCTCCAGGGAAAAGCAGCGGCTCGGGGTACTTGGCTCCACCGTTGCCCGGCAACAATAGGCTCGCCCACAGCTTCCTCGCTCTCAGCTGCTCACTTCCTTATCCACTCGACCAATCCACGCACAGGACATCGCCAAGCCGGCGGTGATTGGAGGACTGTCAGGATCCGTCACTCGGAGGCTCCGCCCACCACTTTTTCCGGCAGCAGCAGGTCGGGCGGAGCGGAGGGTTTGCTGGCTGCGGGACAGGCTGCTGCGGTAGGTGAGGAGTGGCGGGGGGCCCACAACATTTGTACCCGCGGTTCCGGCCTCATCCTGAATACCGCAGGGAGGCCTCGGAGCCTGACTCATCTCGCCCAGCCCGTCCTGGAGGCCAGAGTGACGGAGGCCCGAATGGCCACCCAACTTCCCTGCGCTGTCCTGGACTTCCTAGGAGGGGAGTGGGGCCGGGCTCCGGGGTGAGAAAATGTTTGGTTTGGGTGCGTTTTCCCGATTTGGGGATGGGGGTGGGGGTTCATTGTGCCCCCTGGCATTAGTTCATTCAGGGCTGCCATGACGTACCTGTCCCGTTTACTTATGAGCCTTTGCGCTCGTTGGGCTCTCCTAGAATTGGGATTATTCAAACCTTTCTGTTGGCAGCCTTCCTAATCTCAAAGGCCCATCCTGTAAGAGACTAGAGAGTTATGAAAGCCTCCAGATGCTGTGTGGAGCCCTCCACCTACCTATCTCTGCTAGGGCTACTTTCAGTATGTTCCCAAGCAGGCAGAATGATATCTGGTAAAAGTATGGATTTTTGGAGCGGCACTGGTCTGGTTTCCAATCAAGGATATATCAGTAATTACCCTTCTGGTCCTCAGATCCTACAGATTCTTCATCTGCAAAATGATGAAAATGTCTATTAGTGTTTCTATTAAAATAAGAACACAAGCCCGACTTCTACCTATAATGAGTGAATGGGCCTTTGCATTTGATACAGCTCTCTGAGAGACACTTTTCACCAAGCAGAACCTGTGTATGTAGAACTTTGCAAGACCTTTAGGGCCTTATTGACATCGGGATTTAATTAACTGAGGGCAGAATTGTTGAATTTGGGAGCTTTTTGGAGAAAAGTGCAAGCTGATTGTCTTCACTGGAAATGTCATGAAATATGCACGCACCTGTGGTATGTGTGTGTTTAAAAACAAAAGTAAAATTTGCCATTTTAACCATTTTTAGATATGTAGTTCAGAGGCATTCACATTGTTATGCAACTGTCACCACCACCACCCATCTCTAGAACTTCCCAAACTGAAACTCTGTACCCATTAAACAATAACTCCCATTTTCCCATTCCAAAAAACCCCTGGCAACCACTGTTCAGTTTTCTGTCTATGGATTTGACTGCACTAGGCTCCTTCTGTAAGTGGCATGACCCAGTATTTATCCTTTTGTATCTGGCTTGTAGATACAAAAGGATAAATATTAAACTCCATTTCTGAAGACAAACTTCATTGTGAAAACAACTTGGGTGCAGAGCTAGAAGAGGAACCCAATTACCTTTTTGCCGTCTTCTTATCTCTAACACAGAAACCTAATAGAAGAAATTTTAAATTTTGTTAAAGTTCTTAAAAGCCTATTTATTACCTTCAATGGGTAAACATACATCTGAATACTACATGCTTATAGTGTATCCTTAAAGCCAGACCTTGCTCACTTGAGCTTCTGTTTTTCCAGCTCAAATTCCAAATGAAAATGTTTGAAAGCGTTGACTCTACAGCTACAAAATCTGGCCCAGACCTTTGGGCTGAAATATGTTCCTGTCTGCCAAGTCCTGACCAAGAGGATGGTGCCAAGAATGCCTTCTCAGACTCCTTTATGGATTCTTATCCTGCAAGCACAGGCCAGAGGGAGGCGCTGGACTTTGCTGCTCAGCCCGCTATAAAGCCTTGGGCTCCCTTGCAGGATTCAGAAGTGTATTTAGCATCTTTAGGTAAGTTAGATGGCTTAAAAAAAAAAAATAATAATCATGGCTTTAAAGATGCTTGTTGAAGTTCCTCTACCTTAAACTTGGTTTTCTGTTCTTTCTGTCAATTCTCACCCAAGGATATTTCTCCCATTGATTTTTAAAGAGAGTGGAAGGGAGAGATCAGGAGAGAAACATTGATGTGAGAGACACATCAATTGGTTGCCTCCCACACAGGCTGCAACCGGGGCTGAGGATCCAACCTGCAACCCAGGTATATGCCCTTGACGGGAATCCAGTCAAAACCCTTCAGTGCACAGGATGACAGTCTAACCATTGAGCAACATTAGCCAGGGTGGTTTTCTGTTCTTAAAAAATTTTCTTTTTGTCCTCACCACATGTATCTATCAGGTATAAGTATAGGGGGTGTTTCAGGTTGGTTGTGGGAAGGACCCCATTTTTCTTGTACATAGGGATTAAAATGGTCTTTGCAAACTCTTACCTCTGTTATAACTAAATTCTGCTTTATGCACTGGCTGGTTTGGCTCAGTGAATAGAGCGTTGGCCTGCAGCGGACTGAAGACTCCCAGGTTAGATTCCAATCAAGGGTGCATTCCTGGTTGCAGGCTTAATCCCCAATAGGGGGCATGCAGGAGGCAGCCTATCAATTATCCCTCATCATCCATGTTTCTTTTTCTCCCTCTTTCTTCATCTCTGAAATCAATAAAAAAATATATTTTAAAAAATAAATTCTGCTTTATTTCTTGGCATTTTGTAGACCCTCTTGCCTACTATTGGTGGCTCATATATTCAAGTAACTAAAAAACATCAAATCTTATGCTTTCCTAAAAGGAAAGGTCAGAGCTATCATACATGTGGATTGAGGGATGCTACAGTTTGAAAACCTGTTATAGTAGATAGATTGTTGGAATGGGAACATGTTGACATAAAATTCATTCTGCCTCTTGTGAGCTATTTTATTTTTTTAATATTTCCTGAACATATCTTCACTATCCTGTCATATGGCCTTAAGTGTAAGTATTTAGAAAGACTAAATACACAAGAAAGAGATTCAGATTGTTCCATGCAAGGGGAAAGAAAAATATCAGTCGAGGGTAGTAATCGCCATGCTTTAAAATTGTAGTGTATTTTTATTATTAAACATACATGAGACCCATCTCTGTGTCACAAAACCAAACCTAAGGAGTAATTGTTTAAGGAAGGAAAGGCAATTCAGAAAGAAGCTTTTAAGGAAGGCTGGAGAGAAGAGTCGGAATAGAGTTTACATAATTGCTGAGAAATACTTTGGAAAAACAAGGAATTTTGTTAACTGTGTACTGGAGGAAAAGATATGAGAAAAACAGGTGGAATGATGGATAATGAGAAAGATGAGGGTATAATGTGAGATTCTCAGGAAGCCACCAAAGATAGGCTCTGCCATGGCTGAGTAGGTTGGCAGTTCTGTTTTGTGGTAGTCAGAACATCTGTTTAATGATGATAAGGAGAAGAAGCAACATTCTGAGAAAACTAAAAAACCAGATCCTTTGGCTTGTTGGTGCTCTGTGCCCAAGGGTTATAAGAAACTTTCATGGTTTACAGACATGGTGGCCGTTAGGATGGGCAAGCTGACAACTATACCTGCAAGTCTGATGTTTGCATTTATATGTGTGCATGCAGCCAGAGGAGAGGAATCCAAAAAGGAGCTAGTGAAATATGTTTAAAAACAGCCTGGTAATTGACAAGTGGGCTTTGGCGCCATCCACACTGCAGCTGGTCCTGACATTGGCTGGTGGTGCAAGGGTGTTTATGTCCTTGTGGAAAATGGGATAACGGATACAGTACAATTTGGAAAAGAGGCATATGTTTATCTGAAGAATCCACCACGGAATTTTCTTCTGAAAACTGGACTAATTGGTTTCAGGATTGGCAAGCTGGTTTTCAGCAAGAAAATGTTCTAGATTTAAGAAAATTGGTTCTCCACTGGGACTGGCCCCTTTAGGAACAACTGTTTATTGTCCAGTTCAGTCCGTAACAATTGCAAAGGAAACTAGAAAAAAGGCATACGGTACAAGCCAGAAAGTTTGTAAGCAGGTACATTGTTATGGTAAAAAAACAAAGACACCAAAAAAGGATCACTTCCTGAACCTAAAGAAAAAGCAAAGCTAGGACGCTCTACTGAAATAGGATTACCTGCAAAACAACTCACGACTTGAAACACTCAGTTTCTTTGCCAACAGAACTCAGCTCTGAAACGAAGACCAAATCAGAATTCACCTCAGGTGCTACACAGTTTATGCCTGAAGTAGATCACAAGCAGTCCCTTCTAGAAGGTGTAGATATATATGTACAGCAGTAGAAGCTGAAATAGTCTAATAGAGAACCACAGATATGTGAGGTTCCAAATAATAACAAAAAAGATCATGTAATGAATAACTGTGACACATGGAGTATAATTTAAAGCAAGTTTATCCTTTAGATCTTCTAATGTATAGAAGATCTAAAGGATAAACTTGCTTTAGGATAAACTTGCTAAAGGATAAACTTGGCCAATCACATAAGTGTTTAAAACACACACACAGCAAACACAATCCAAGTACTATTAAGTGATTGGTGAAGAGGCAATAGTAGTAGGATGCATTTGATGACTTTCAAGGGTGTTTATAAAAACAACAAAAAAATAGAGTGAATATGTGAACACTTATGAGACTAAAATTTGAAGAAACATGTATGTGTATATAAATACACATATACACTAGGTATATGGGCTTTAGCTTTTTGTAATTAATGTCAGCTAAATTAGAATGGTGTATGGAAGGATGTGTTTTTTATTTCCCAGAGCTGGAATAAAATATCCATAGTTTATGACAAAATAAAAGAAGCTTTCATGAATTCAGTGATAATTTTGATTGGTTCAGAAAGTTAAAATTCCCTTGATATTTTCTAAAATCAGATAAGATGATGATTAAAATTTCCTTCTCCGAGGAAAATAAGAACCATTTCTGGCTCCTATGGCAGAGTTTGGGAGACAATGGCAGGCAGGTTTGGAGTATGAAATGGCACCTGCTTCTGCCTGCCCAACTTAGATCACCCCTGGTCATGGACTCAGTGCACTCAGAGAGAGGGAGACCTTTTCCAGCCCAAAAGGGCACCTTCCACCTTGACAGCCAGGGCCAGACAAAATAAAGATTGTTTTTATTGCCAAATAAACTGTATCAAAGATAATTCACTAAGATCACCGATTAAAACCTTAGTCAGTTCAACAAAAGATATACATAATTCTTTTCATATCCTCAAGGAGAAAAAAATTCCTCAAATATTTTACAGGTGTTTTATATGGGTGAGCGCTTGGAGGTAACTTGCATCAACAGAAGGTACTTATTGTTTTGATCAGAAGGTGCTAGCTGATGTGGCCTATCTATAATAATAAAAGGGTAATATGCTAATTAGACCGGATGTCTTTCTGGAGGTCATTCTGGACGTCCTTCCTGACGAAGCCAGCCCAGGTCCCAGGTGCCGGAGGGAAGCTGGTGCCAGCATTTGGGGGAAGGAAGGCCTACTCTTGCACAAATTTTCATACATTGGGCCTCTAGATTAGAAATGAAAACAGGATTGTAAATCATAAAGTTTCCATTGGTTCTAGGCTTGATGTTCACCATCTCTAAAAGCTATCATTTACCCATTTATTATAGTTGAAGGCAAGAAGGTACATGGTGATACCCTCTCTTGTAATCTTCAAAAGGGGTTATCTGTTCTCAACAGTTACAATTAAAATGCAAATAAGAGTAATTAAACATCTATCATCAGGAAGCCATATGGACCATTCTCAAAAGAGATTACAAGATGTTTGTTTTTCTTAGGCTCCAACAGCCAGGCCCAAAGTTGAGAAACATTAAAAAATATTGGGAGATTGCTTCTCTTTAATTAAGAATTTAATCACACAGAAATCTTACAAGTCTCTTATTGAGTTCTTTTTAAAAAATATATATTTTATTGATTTCTAACAGAGAGGAAGGGAGAGGGATAGAGAGCTAGAAACGTCAATCAGCTGCCTCTTGCACACCTCCCACCGGGGATGTGCCCCCCAGCAAGATAATGTCCTTGACCTGAACCAAACCTAGGACCTTTCAATCCACAGGCCGAAGCTCTATCCACTGAGCCAAACCAGCCAGGGCTCTTATTGAGTTCTTATCAAGTCAGTTTTAATGTCTAATGAACCATTGGATCTCTCATCATTTTCTCTAAGTCTTTCTCATGAGGTTTGGCAACCACTTTATGTCACTGTAACCGAAAGAAAAACCATTTACTCCTCAGAGAGACTATTTTCAAGGAGTTAAAAAAAGATGAGAGTATACACATGTCAAGCCAGGGAAAACAAGCATTCCATAGAGAGGTACCTGCTGGGCTTCTGTGACTTCAAAGAAAACACACCATCAATTTGTTATGAGAACCTATGGTTTTTCCCTTTTCTGGGGTTAAACATTTATTTGGTGCAATGTGGAGTGAAAACATTGTGCAGGGAAAGGAAAATTGTACATTTCTCTCTATCTGCCCTCCTTAAAATATTAGGGTGTTTTGTTTTTTTTTAATATATTTTATTGATTTTGTACAGAGAGGAAGGGAGAGAGATAGAGAGTTAGAAACATCGACGAGAGAGAGACATCGATCAGCTACCTCTTGCACACCCCCTACTGGGGATGTGCCCGCAACCAAGGTACATGCCCTTGACTGGAATCGAACCTGGGACCCTTCAGTCCCCAAACGCTCTATCCATTGAGCCAAACCGGTCCCGGCTTTTGTTTGTTTTTTTATAGAGAGTGTACATGTACTCATCAGTCAGAGAATTTTTGAAGTTGGTATTTGCATTTAAAATTTAGTTTCATTTCATATTCACTTTCCTTGTTAAGCTCCATTACTTCTCTCTTTAGAGAATAAGCTGAGAAGAATCAAAGGCTTAAATCAGGAAGTGACTTCTAAGGACATGCTTCGAACCCTGACCCAAGCCAAGAAGGAATGCTGGGACCGGTTCCTCCAGGAGAAGTTAGCGTCGGAGTTCTTCGTGGATGGACTTGATTCTGATGGGAGGTGAGTGACTCCCAGGCCAGTTCTGGGTGACGGTCCGTTTTACTGTGCGCATTTCTTTCTTTCTTTTATTTTAAAGAGAGTTTATTGATTTCTTAGAGGAAGGGAGAGGGATAGAGAGCTAGAAACATCGATGAGAGAGGAATATCAATCAGCTGCCTCCTGCACACTTCACCCTGGGGATGTGTCCGCAACCAAGGTACATGCCTTTGACCAGAATCGAACCTGGGACCCTTCAGTCTGCAGGCCGACGCTCTATCCACTGAGCCAAACCAGTTAGGGCTGTGCACGTTTCTTTTTCTCTGAAGAATCCAGGGAGAAGTGACAGGTGAGTTGAAATATTAGTTGATATCAACATCAGCGTCTGAGTTAAAATCGTCCTTTGCCAGTTTGCTCTATTTGCTGTTAGTACAGCAGCGGATTTTTGAGAATCTTGCTCACAGATTGGATATAGTTGAGGATAAATCATTTCCTTCTTTTTTTAAATAAATTCTTTTATCCTCACCCTAAGATATATTTTTTTATTGATTATCAGAGAGAGAGAGAGAGGAAGGAAGAGAGAGAGAGAAACAATCAGTTGCCTCCCATACATGCCCCAACTAGGAATTAAACCCACAACCTAACTATGTGCCCTGATCTGGAATCAACCTGCAACCTTTTTGATGAGGAGGATGATGCTCCAACCAACTGAGCCACCCGGCCAGGCCCATGGTCTGCATTTTTAAGTGCAAGTACATAAAACATTTGAGAGAGTAGTAATCAATCAGCAACTGGAACTATGTCTTCTCGCTTCCAAATCTCTGTTGCTTTACAGAGTTTCTGTCATATTGTAGCCACTCAAATGGGTATAGAGTAAATGAATGATTTTCTTAAGCATCTACTGAGTGAAGGCACTGTGCCTGGTGTCTTGGGGCTGGGGTGTGAGGAAGTTTAACACCCTCTTTTTTTGTCTCTGTAACTAGTTAGGGAGAGATGACAAGTAGGTATAAAGATGTACCTAATAATATGAGGCAGCATGAGGGAAGAGCCAGATGAGAAGAAGTGATGGAACATGCTTTAGGAGTTGAAAGACCACTGAACTCCCTTTGGGCTCTGGTGTTTGTGACAAGTACCTGCAGGTGGGCCAGATGCCGAAAGGAGAGGGAGCATTCTGCCACAAAGCAGGAAAAGCTTGACAGTGGGAAAATGGCTCTGCCACTTAGTGGTTGTATGTTGTTGGGTAAGAAAGCTGTATGTGCCTCAGTGGCCTCCTCTGTAAAGCAGAGGAAACCTCATAAGGTTATTGTGAAGGTTTAACGAGTTACTGTGTGTAAAGTTCTTAGAACAGTGCCTGACACATGGTAAGTGCTATATAAGTGTTAGCTATTTATATAGATAAAGCCTAAGCGACCGAACAACTGGTGAACTGGTTGCTGTGATGGGCACTGACCACCAGGGGGCAGACACTCAACACAGGAGCTGCCCCCTGGTGGTCAGTGCACTCCCACAGCCAACCTCCCACGGCCGGCCAATCTCCTATGGCTGACAAACTCCCGATGTCCCTCCCCCTGGCTACCAGCCAGCCTCCCATGACCGGCCAATCTCCTACTGCTGACCAAACTCCCGATGTCCCTCCCCCTGGCCACCAGCCAGCCTCCCATGGTCCCTCCCCCTGGCCAGCTGGATGCTCCCCCCCGCCCCCCCCATCAGCCACAATCACCGGCCAGGCCGAGGGACCCCACCTGTTCACACGTTCGTGCACTGGGCCTTTAGTTGTTAATATTATTCTTCCTAACATAGTTTTATTTATTTTTAAAGACTAGTTTATTGATTTTTACTTATTTATTTTTCTCATTTAAAAAAAGATATTTTATTGAATTTTTACAGAGAGGAAGGGAGAGAGATAGAGAGTTAGAAACATTGATTAGAGCAGTGTTTTTCAACCGCTGTTCCGCGGCGTGTGCCGTAGGTGCAGACAAGACAAGAATTTTATAATTTTTCACTATTTTGTTTACTTAATATTTCATAATAAAGTAATTATAAAATACTTTCTTTGTGTTTATTTGATTCCTATTCAAGAGAATTACTTTATATATAGTCAATATAGGCACAGAGTTAAATTTTTTAACATTTTCTAATGGTGGTGTGCCTCGTGATTTTTTTCATGAAACAAGTGTGCCTTTGCCCAAAAAAGGTTGAAAAACACTGGATTAGAGAGAAACATTGATCAGCTGCTTCCTGCACCCTCCCCCACCCCCCACCCCCGGTGATGTGCCCACAACCAAGGTACATGCCCTTGACTGGAACCAAACCTGGGACCCCTCAGTCCACAGGCTGACGCTCCATCCACTGAGCCAAACCAGCTAGGGCAGTTTATTGATTTTTAGAGAAGGAGGGAAAGAGAGGAAGAGAGAAGCATCGATGGCTGTGAGAGCACAGTATGGATCAGCTGCATCCTGCACGCCCCCTTATTGTGACTGAGCCCACACCTGGGGCATGTGCCCTTGACCAGGAATTGAACCAGCGATCCTTGGTACACAGGACGATGTCCAACCAACGGAGCCACACCGGCCAGCGTGCTAATAGAACTTTAAAGTTCAGTAACAACTTATTCAAAATATTGATAAGGTCATTGAGGGGAGTAACAACCTTAATTTTAAGGGGAATACGACTTAATCTTTAACATTGATTTTGAGAGTCCCATTGTGTCAGATGACGATATTGCTGCAGAAATTGTGGGCAATATGTGAATAAAACTTCATACATTTTGTTTTTTAATTTGCAAAGTACCTTCACTTACATTATCTTAAATACCAAATCAGCATCCTTTGAGACGCTTCAGAAATGGGTGTGGTATCTAAGGTCAGGCCAGCTACCTTCTCAGGTTCAGAAAAATAACACAGATTTTGCTCTTTTCTGTATCTAAAGGCTCAATCCAATTAAGCTTTAAACTGCCCTAATTACAGAAGAGTTGAAGATACACAGATTCCTGACTCACTAATAATTTGGTGTTTTCTCTCCCCTTGAATATTCCTTCCTTTCCAACTCTCAGAAGGAAAGATAAAACTTTCTCCTGCCTAATTCCCAACTAAGAATTCTTTTTTGAAATCAGATCAGCAACAAGTCTCCTTAATATTTCTGTGTACTTATCAATAGCTAAGATAATGTGGCTTTCCTTTCTCTCTGGAAATAATTGAGCCCGGCTGGCATGGCTCAGTGGTTGAGGGTCGACCAGGAAGGAGGTCACGGTTTGATTCCCGGTCAGGGCATATGCCTGGTTTGTGGGCTTAATCTCCAATAGGGGGCGTGCAGGAGGTGACCAATCAATGATTCTCTCTCATCATTGATGTTTCTAGCTCTCTCTTTCTCTCCCTTCCTCTCTGAAATCAATAAAAATATATTTAAAAAAATAAATAATTGAGTAATTCTATGAAAAGTGTGGTAGGTGAAGATTAAATGCCTGTGCAGCATAAGTCCCCTGAGCTGGGCTGTTACTCCCCCGAGCCTACATCGGTGGGAAAACTTCTATCATTGTTCAGAGCAAGGACTAGGAAACAGTATATATGCATTTGTTTTCAAACTTCAAAGTTTATGTTTTAAACAGAGGCCATTTTGTAGGGGATTGTGTGGTCCTTCACCTACAGGAAGGCCACCCTCTTTATGCTTTTGGCAGGGGAGTCATGGCTGAGCAATCCATCTGTGCACAGTATGAATCCCCGTCCCTGACAGATGTCTTAAATCTGCTGGTTGTGGCTTTATTTCTTGGCTTACTAGTAAGACTCTGTGCTAGTGAAGAGCATAGAATGTGGCTAACATTATTTCTGGTCGTTTATATTTTACTGTGGATGTCTAATGGCTAAGAGTGAGAATCCTCTGTACTAAAGGAAGGTGGGAGGAGACCTCTTCTCCCTTCCCCACAAATCCAAACCAAAAAGGGCCTCTGGTGTGGTGGTCATTCCTTTATGGGGGACATTGCTGTTCCAGTGTTTCTATCTTGGGGACTTGCTATAGGGCAGTGCTCGGCAAACTTATTAGTCAGCAGAGCCAAATATCAATAGTACGATCAAAATTTCTTTGGAGAGCCAAATTTTTAAAACTTAAACTTCTTCTAATGCCACTTCTTCAAAATAGACTGGCCCAGGCCATGGTATTTTGTGGAAGAGCCACACTCAAGGGGCCAAAGAACCGCATGTGGCTCGCGAGTCGCAGTTTGCCGATCACTGCTATAGGGTGAACTAAACAAACAAAAAGCCCATAAACAAAATTGCTCTCAGTGCAACTAAGCATAATTGAGTCTCAGACTATTTCAGGTATGACATTTCAAGTTGCTTAGGTTTTTGCCTAATAATTTGGTATTTATTGGAATGTTTTTTCCCCTTGACAGTTTCTCTCCTCTTTTTTGGGGGGGGAGGGAAGTGGAGAGGGAAAGACAGGACTGAGGCATTAGTTCTTCAGCTGTTCTCATCAAGCCTTCAGAGGCTCTGCTTTCCAAGGGGGTCTGATGCTGCTTATAGCCAAGTGCCCACCAGGAGGTAAATTATGCCTGGGAGCTGCCAGGATGCACAGCTGGCAGAGGAGCATCCGTGAAAAACAATTGTAGGAAGAAATTGGTTGTGGGTGGGAAGGCAGTATTTGAGTAACTGAGATAATCATTAAGTAATTAGTCATCCAGGTCTGATGCAGTCACCCTTTTCTCTTGCTCTTTTCTAGCACCTTGGAACATTTCAAGAGGTGGCTCCAGCCAGATAAGGTGGCCGTCAGCACAGAGGAGGTCCAGTATCTGATTCCTCCAGACTCACAGGTGGAGAAGCCAGTGGCTGGGGATGAGCCAGCGGCAGCAGAACAATAAATTACACACATAGACAGACAGACAGACAGACACTGATAGACAACTAGACACATTCATGCATGCACACACACACGCACGCTTGCGTGGAGCAGCTGTCTGGAGTCCAGAGGGCAGTGGGGAGCTCAGCGGCAGCATCGGCAAGAAGACTCTGGAGGGGCAGAGCCCAGCTCTCCGCTCCACAAGGCAAACAGCTGTGGCTACCTGAGGCCTTGCTTGGGGCTGGAGTGTGTGTCTGTCTTGGATGAAGTGACTGTCCCAGTGCATTCTGGATCAAAATACCAGTTTCCTGTATGTCTCTCAGCTTGCTCCAGCTCTGGTGGCGCAGCTGAGAAGTCTACCGAGAATCTACTGAGAATCTAGTGAAGGACCAGGTGTAATTGTGTGTGGAGCAGCTGATGCCCTTGTGTATAATGTTTAAGTTAAGTGAGCCATATTTATCCCTGCCTCTCCTGGACTTCCCTACCTGTGTCCCAAGCACTCCCTGGGTAACTTGTCAGGGGTGAGTGGGACCAAGGAAAGTGAAGTCTGCCTCCTCAAATCCAAGCCCCATTTGGGGCTTCGCTAAGTCTGCAATAAATATGAGGACTTTAGCAAAAGAGCCTGTGCTTTTTCTTTGTCCAATTTGTTTCTTGTGGGGAAAATGGACAAAAGAAATGTGAAAAGGTGTGTGTGTGTGTGTGTGTGTGTGTGTGTGTATTTTTAAATTTCATGAGTGGTTTCTCCCCTAATTTCCTCCTGCACTTATAAAGGATTAAGTTCCAAATTAGACTTGCAAATATGGTTTTGGTATTTGACACCACTGCTTGAATGTTCCCTGCTTGCTACTAGTAGCAGCTTTTTTGGACGAGCCTGTGCTTTCCTCCTTCTTTATGGTGCTCTTTTCAGATGGTGTTGTCCATATAAACCTTTTATCATCAGAACAGCTGTATGTGTGGTCAATTGGCCTGATTCCTCTGGAGAGATGCTCCCAGGCAGTGGGGAGGTAAAAACAAAAGCATGGCAATGCAGGTGAGCTGGTAACGCGTCAGCCTTCCGTGTTTAACACGTGTCCTCTGACAGGCCCCACCTCGGTGCTCTGAGGGGTACATTTCTTTTTTTTTTTCTTCTTTTTCTTTTTTTTTAACATTTATTTATTTATTTATTTTTACATATTTTATTGATTTTTCCCCCCTCCCTCCCTCCCACACATCCCCTCCCTCCCCAGAGTTTTATGTCCATTGGTTGTACTTATATGCATGGATACAAGTCCTTCAGTTGATCTATTATCTCCCCCAGATCCTCCTCCCCTCCCCGCTGAAATTTGACAGTCTGCTTGTTGCTTTACTGTCTCTGTATCTATCTTTTGGTTCATCAGTTTATAATGATCTTTATTATCCACAAATGAGTGAGGTCATGTGGTTTCTCTTTCATTGATTGGCTTATTTCACTCAGCATGAGGGGTACATTTCTGAGGCCACAGGCCATGCAGCTTCTTTCTGGATAACAGGTTCCTAGTCCCTAATGATGAGCAGGGTGGCCATACAAATCTTCAGAGAACAATTGCTTTTTTTTTTTTTTTTAATTGAATTTATTGAGGTGACTTTGGTCCACAAAACCATACAGGTTCCAAGTATACAATTCAACCAAACATTATCTGCACACTGCATCATGCACCTATCACCCAAAGTAAAGTCTCTTTCCGTCCCCATTTATCCTCCCTTTGCCCACCGGGCTATCAGCACACTGGTGTGTGTGTGTGTGTGTGTGTGTGTGTGTGTGATATATATACTGGAAGCCCAATGCATGAGTTCGTGGGGTCCCTTGGCCTGGCCTGTGGGATTGGGCCGAAACCGGTTCTCTGACATCTCCCTAGGGCACATGTGTCAAACACAAGGCCCGCGGGCCAAATCCGTCCCGCGGGCCAGGCCTTGCAATGTGGCCCGCACCGCACTGTCATCACTGCACTCCGCTGCGTTTCCATCACAATGACAGTTTATGACTGTTCAGTAAACCATTCGGCCCGCGATTTAGGCTGGATTTTAGATTTTGGCCCCTTCTCTGCTTGAGTTCGACACCCCTACTAGGGGCACAGGTTTGCAAGAGGGCAGAGGCCAGGCAGAGGGACCCCACGGGTGCACGATCAGGGCCAGGGAGGGATGCAGGAGGTTGGCCAGCTGGGAAGCGACCACGGGAGAGCTTTAGGGTGTGTCTTGCCTATCTCAGTCCTGATCAGCCGGATCCCGGCAGCAAGCTAACCTACCAGTTGGCGCATCTGCCCCCTGGTGGTCAGTGCACATCATAGCGAGTGGTTGAGTGGCCTTAGTATATCATTAGCATATTATGCTTTGATTGGTTGAACAGATGACCGGACACTTAGCATATTAGGCTTTTATTATATAGGACATTTGCTTAATCCCTTCACCTTTTTTAAAAAAAGAGAGAATATTTTATTGATTTTGTACAGAGAGGAAGGGAGAGATAGAGAAACATCGATGAGAGAGTCATCGATCAGCTGCCTCTTGCACAACCCCTACTGGGGATATGCCCGCAACCAAGGTACATGCCCTTGACCGGAATCGAACCCGGGACCCTTCAGTCCCCAAGCCGACGCTCTATCCTTTGAGCCAAACTGGTCCCGGCCCCTTCACCTTTTTAATCCAGCCCCCCAATACTCCTCCCTTCTGGCAGTTGTCAGCCTGTTCAATGTATTCATGCCTCTGTTTTAATTTTGTGAAGGACCCAGTTTGTTTTGTTCATTAGAATCCACATATAAGTGAAATCATATGTTATTTGTCTTTCTCTGACTGGCTTATTTTGCTTAGCATAAAATCTCTAGGTCCCTCCCTATGGTCACAAAAGGCAAAATTTCCTTCTTTTTAAGCCTGAGTAGTATTCCATTGTATAAATACACCACAACTTTTTTTTTTTTAATATATTTTATTGATTTTATACAGAGAGGAAGGGAGAGAGTTAGAAACATCGATGAGAGAGAGTCATCGATCAGCTGCCTCTTGCACACCCCCTACTGGGAATATGCCCACAACCAAGGTACATGCCCTTGACCGGAATCGAACCCGAGACCCTTCAGTCCCCAAGCCGACGCTCTTAACCATTGAGCCAAACCGGTCCCGGCCACCCCAGCTTTTTTATTTACTCATCCATTGATGGACACTTGGGCTGTTTCCAGATCTTGGCTATTGTAAATAATGCTGCAATGAACATAGGGGTGCATATATTCTTTCAAATGAGTATTTGTTTTTTAATATATATTCCCAGAAATGGGATTGCTGGGTCAAACATCAGTTGCATTTTTAATTTTTTGAGGAAACTCCATACTGTTTTCCTCACTAGCTGCACCTGTCTGCATTCCCACCAGCAGTGTACTAGGGTTCCTTTCCTCCACATCCTCCCCAGCATTTGCTGTTTGTTGATAAATTGATAGTAGCCATTCTGATAGGCATGAGATAATATCTCATTGTGGTTTTAATTTGCATTTCTCTGATGATTAGTGACATTGAGCATTTTTTCATTTATGAAATGGCTATCTCTATGTCCTCTTTGGAGAAGTGTCTATTCAGGTTCTTTGCCCATTTTTAAATTGCATTTTCTTGGTGTTGAGTTTATAAGTTCTTCCTTTTCTTGATATAAGTTCTTTTTATGTTTTAGAAATTAACCCCTTATCAGCTATGCCATTAGCAAAAATGTTCCCCCATTCCTTGGTTTGCTTTTTCATTTTATTGATTTTTTTTTTTCTGTACAAAAGCATTTTAGTTTGATGTAATCCCGTTTATTTTCTCCCCCACTCCTTGCTCAAGGAGATACATCAGCAAAAATATTGCTACGAGAAATGTCTGAAATTTTACTCTCTATTGCTTATTTCTAAATTAAGTATTTGCCTTGTTTGAAAGGATGATAACCACCCAAGTAATTCTATATCCTTGCCTAATTATATAAATACTTCAGTAGTAATTTCCAGATATATTTTCCCCTTTTTTCTTTTAAAGAATATATTTTTATTGATTTTAGAGAGGAAGGGAGAGGGAGAGAGAGATAGAAGCATCAATGATGATAGAGAATCATTGATCAGCTGCTTTCTGCACACCCCTCACTGGGGATTAAGCTCATAACCTGGGCATGTGCCCTGACCAGAAGTCAAACCATGACCTCCTGGTTCATATGTCGATTCTCAACCAGGAAAACCCACTGGAAACCGCTTGGGTAGGCCCAAAACTTGGGTGGGGCAGGGCCTCAGGGAATCACCAGGATGGGGTCAGGCTGTGTGAGCCAGGTTAATGGAGTCTCAAATATGGTGTCCACCTGCCAGCTCTGTGGTAAGGGCTCAGAAAAGGAACAATGGCCTCTGCCAGTGCTTCTGTCTGGGAGAAAGCTGCCCCCAGTGCTTGCTTGATGCAGGACAGTTCAGTTCCTGTATGTCCCTGGTGCCTTTCAGCCATTGTGCCAGCACTGGGGCTCAAGGCAAGTGAGTCATTAAGGCCATATGCGGGCCCTTTAAGAGGAATTGCCTTAGATCCCATCAGGCCTCCCTCATCCTTAATCCCTGTTTTTTACAGACAGAAGTTATGGGGGCTTCTCTTTCTGACAGGAATCCTGGGCTGCGGGGCCTGGTGTGGAGCTGGGACCCCTCACTCCTCAGGGGAGATCATGGCAGCAGAGCTATCCCTCCCAGTTTTTATCCCCTACACATGGATGTGGAACAAGCCCCTTCCGTGACTCTCCCCTTCTACTACCAGTCTCACTGTGTCTTCTTTAATTCCCTAGTTGTGGGACGTCCATTCAACCAGATCTCAGATGGTTCTTTCTGAATGATGGCTATTCTGTAGTTTAGTTGTAGCTTTGATGTGGTTGTGGGAGGAAGTGAGAACCGTGTTTACCTATGCCACTATTTTGGCCAGAAGTCCAAAACACTAAGATTTTCTTCTGGTATGATAAACAACTATTTAAGGGGAAAAAAAGCAATAAGGTCTCAAAACATTCTCCCAAAGAGTAGCTGATCATAAGATGGATAGGGAATATTTCTGTACCAGAAAGTAGTGTTTCTGTAATTCAGGCAAGATTCTAGCTTTGCTGTTTCTCTACCCCCCTCCCATTTTATCTTTAGGAAACAGAAGTTTTAGTGTGAGAAGATGGGGAGTTGATGTAAAAGAACCAAAAAGAGATGGTAGGCCTGAAAGGCTTTTAGCCCCACATAAGGACCTGGGTGAGGACTGAGGAGCGGCTGCCAGGTCTCTGCTTACCTTCTTGCTTCAGTCTGTAATAAAGATAGTTTTCCACAGAAAGGAGTCCAATAAGTTGTAACTATGGTTTCTTAATTGCTTTAGAGGTGACAATTTAAGTGCTGGCTCTAAAAGAAGGTGAAACTATTTACCAAAAATAAATTTGATATTAGTTCCCAAAGTTAACGTATTAATATAGACTTACCTTGGGCTATTTAAGTGGCACTAAATTTGAAACCAAGAGTCTTGGGTGCTATCTTTATCTGTCTGTGGCTTACTGTGTGGTCATAAATAAGTCAAGACCTCTTTGGGTTCCAGTTCCCTTTCAGAAATTGGACCAACCGTAGGGAAAAATGGTATTGGCCAAAAATACTGATCTGTTTCC